AAATGGGGGCAACAATTCCTGTCTTTCACTGGGGTAGGAGAATAAATAAGATAATAGAGAGGGGAAATATTTGATCCTCTGGAAAAGAAGGTGCTCTAGCAATTGTAGATTTTATTATTACTGTTTGTCCTGGAGTTCTAAAGCTACTTTAAATTTGTGTGTGTGTGTGTGTGTGTGAGTCAGGTGGAAGGGGGATTGAAGAGAAAATTCTTTTTTGCACAGGTTCTCCAATTTCCTTACACGCAGAATGATTCCCAACTAGCATTTGTTTGGGGGCCTTGACTTAAGGGACAGAACAAAAACTGAACATCTTTTCCACAGAGAATCTCTAGGGCAACCAGGACCCCCCCTGCAAAGCTCAAACTGTGGAGCCTGACAAGAAAATGGCTCATTTGTCTAATACAAACTTGGAGGATTGTAGAGTTCAGACTCAACCAGACTGGCAGTTCACAGAGTAAATATTTGATCAGTGAGTAAGAATTCAAATTTGTACTATTTGCTGAAGGTGAAAAGTGTATTAGGAAACCAATGTAATGGGGGTTAAACAGCAGGGTAGGATATTGCCTCCAGGATTCTGCCTCCAGGATCCCAGAGCCCACACGTTGCTCTAGGTTACAAATAAGAATGACTGATATTCTTTATTGGGAAACACTCTCCTACTGCTTACATAAGACCTCAGGGATGATTTTGGGGGCAAGAAGGACAGACAGGCTTTGTTGCATGTGAAAGGGGGTCAGCTGGTTTTGGTGGGCTGGCCAAAATGACAGCATTAAGCAGGAATTAGTATGTAGATGGAAACAAGTCACCTCTTCCATTCGTTTTGGGAAAGGGGATTCCTTATTCTTCTTCCAAGACAAAAGTGGAGTACATTTTTGATGTTGCCCATGTTTCTTTCCATAGCAGATTAGGAGTGGGGAGACTGATATTCCCTTCCATGCTGAGTCATTAAATCCTAAATTTGACCTGGAAGAGACCATAGAGTATTGAATATTAGTGATGTTAGAATGTACTAGCTGTGAAGTTTCAGCTCTTCCACTAAATTTCCAAGGGAATGGAAAGATTGGCTTACCTCTGCAAGCTGAGTCATACTTTCGTTTTTTCAGTGAATTCATGAGCACATCTATGTGAAGATTCCTTAGATGTTACAGGTCACAATTATAACCAGTACATATCTTCTCATCCTGTAATTTTTCCCCCCCTGGTTCTTCCTATGGAAGATATACCCAAAGCACTTCTTTCTCTAGGTCTTTTAATATGCTATGGAAGAGATTCCCAAACGTATTTTGGCTCTTACTCAGTGTTCCCCCTGCCTCCCAGAAATCTGCTTTCTTTAACCCTCTAACAGGTTTTTTTGAAATTTGTGTCATTTCAAAAAAACATATTTTTTAAAAAATGACACATCTTGTATTTAATGACATTATAAATTTGTGTTTTTCCCCCCTGCCTTGAAATTTTGATGATGCAATATTGCATGATGTAACTGTATAGCATCATATTGTAAACAAGTCATTACATGCACACATTCCTGCTGATATATGCTGGGCTTTCTGACAATGTGCAACATGCTCACCTGCCAACACTTGCTTGTTAAGACCTGTTGGTGGACTTGACCATTGATGGGTTATAACTTGCGTTTTGTGCTTATTTGGAAAATAATGTAATCACTATGACTTTAACTCTGTTACACAATAGATGAAACATGCATGAATTTTTTTCAAAATTTTCTTCTCTCCTTTTCTTCTTTCCTTATGCTTTCAACCACCCCCTTATTTTTATTCAATGCCCCCCCATTGGACCTGGGGCTACTATTGCTCCCCATTGTTCCAGAGCCCCCCAGAGGGTGGTATCACCCATTTTGGGAAACTCTATATGGAAATGAGGTCATTTAGCCCCTCCTCTGGACATCTGATTAGCCCATTCCTTTGCCAATCATGTACCTCTTATATAATGGTTTGTGTGCACCAGTACTTATGTGTAAATTATAGTAAATGTTATGCTTTTTACTGTATGCAGCCCATTTCATTAAGATATGTATGAGTAGATAGATAAATTTTCTTTAAAAATGCAAACATTTATTGAATGCTCAATCATAAAGGACAGAATTTTAACTTCTTTGGTTTACTTGATGAATAAAAATCATTTAAATTTGTGTAATACAGATGATTCCATGAGAGCAGGTGCTTTAGCCTTGTGGGAGAGAGAGATGGGACAAGTATCTCAGACTCTTGCTAAGTGTGGTAGGAGCAGTATATATTAAACTCCCTTGCCATGTAGGATAGACAGAGAGGTGACTAATCAACTTGGGAACAGTTCAAGTAAAAGGGATGATGATGATAGACACAGGAACTGACAGGGAGGAAAGTCTGGTCTCTAACCCAGAGATTTCACTAGAAATTGTGTCAAGTCCTACTGAGATCAGGACTTTAAAGGAAAGAGGGTAAGAGTGGGTGTGAGGATGAAAACTGGGAACTATTACCAGTGGTAAGAAATCTTTGACTTTATCCTATTTCTAACCTCCAAAATGTGATTTCTTCTACATGGGATTTGGAAGGGGGGGGTTGCTTTTTATTAGCAAGGAACTGGAGAGGTTGCAGGAGTTTAAGCAGAAGCCTGATGAGCCCTGGAAAAGTGACTCTGAGGGCAGGATCCAATAGTGCCCATTTAGAAAGGGAACTCTCAGAAGACTTACTCTTGCAAAATCAGTTAAATCAATTTGAGGCCCCACACAGAAATTGTCCTTTATCCCCTTTTAGGTGGCTAAGATGTAGGGCTTCCCATACCCCTTTCCCTCTTTAAGATGAATTCCCATTATTCTCAGTGTAGCCAATTCTGTAATAGGGATCAAAAGGCAAAGTGTCTAAAAGATGTGTTTCATAAACTTTTTTTTTTGGTATCTTTCCTATAGCCCACCATACTCTGTGACCAACAAGGGGGCAATTCAATCTTGCTTTCTGAGTGGAGCCCTGCCTGAAAAGTATTAAGTTTTAGCTATAGTACATTCTCAGCCCACTGTCATAGGCAGATTAAATGGTAAAATTTGAGTGGGAGATTGGCACGGCCATTATTATTGAGTCAAACAGGCTGTTGGCACAACTAGTTTCTCTGGGGGTGGCAGAGGAGGCTCAGTGCCCACAGCCGTGCTAGGTGGTCAGAGGGTGATGATACCCTCTCTTGGAGGTACCTTTTGTCATGGTTCCTGAAACATAGTGATGATGAAGAAGCCATCCATCACCAGCCTCATGGAGGTGTTAGTAAACTACTGGGAAATCTCAAGTAGGGTCACTCGGCATTTTTACCCAATCTAAAGTAAAAGCATCTCCCAAAAGATTGCCATTCTACTTGGCAGTCACTTGTATTTTATTCATTCATTCATTTATTTATTATTTTACCTCTTATAATTTCCTTTGCCCCAACACTTGTTCTTTTGTTTTAGGTGAAAGACATTAGAGGCTACAACCTTGTGAGTTTTGAAAGGTCAGGAAAATAAGATATCAGAAGTTTCAGGAGGGGAGCCTGTGTCAGGGTTTATAGCCAACCAGTTTAGCCTCAAGGAGTGAGGAGTGACCTTTGGGATGGACCCCGGTATTAGCTGAGAAAAAGACTCATCTGGCAACAATGCCTAATTCCAGTGTGAACTTAATGGAACTCATGCTATGTAGAAACTGTTGTTAAGTCTTAGTCCACCCTTCCCAGAGACCAAGGTGGTGTATGGGAGACTGTGCCTTCCCAGATGTTGGGGGAAGTGGATGTTTGTACTTTTGCTAGATCTGATTGAGGGTTTGAGGTGGCTGTCAACTCTTGCATAGCCAGAATATTGTAAATAGTTTTATATATATGTCTTTGCTGAATTATTGCTGTCCTTTATCTATTCAGTAAGTTTTAATATTTGTTTAATTATAGAAAAGAATAATTGGTAATAGGAAAGAAGGCTTCTTCAACTTTTTAATTAATATTTAATGAATGGGGTGATGTTAATTAGGTAACTGAGGTGCTGGGGAGGGGGGGGAGACTGCTGCCTCCAGATCACATGTGGCCCTCTAGGCCCTCAAGTGCAGCCTTTGACTGAATCCAAACTTCACAGAACAAATCCTTTTAGTATTTTTGTTTTATTATATTGTTCTGTGAAGTTTGGATTCAGCCTCCAGGCCACATGTGGCCTTCTAGGTCCCTTAATAAAAGAATTTGTTCTATAAAAGGCAGTACCCAAGGACCTAGAAGGCCACATGTGGCCTGGAGGCTACAGGTCACCCCCCCCCCCCAAGCAGCTAGTCACTGGTACCTGACAGTGGGGGAAACTCACTGAAATGGGGATTTAGAGCTGGTAGGATTAGTAAAAGATACTCTCAATCCCTCAGGAGTACCTCTGAACCTTGGTGGAAAGATGTAGCTAACTTACTGTATGAGATGTAAGTTAGACACTGTAGGCAGGGCTTTGCTCCTCTGAGGGCACTCAGGATTATTGTTAGATCTAGAGGTGGGGTCTTAGAAGCTTTGATCTCTTTCTGAATTGTTTTTTTACTGCTACTTCAGAGGAAAGCAGTGAAAAACTAGAAAACAGAATAGGCAAGACAACTCCAGGAAAGGGCCGCTCTCTCTTTAGGATCAAACTTGACTGTTGAGGTAGAATGGTAAGAACTTAGAACTGTAGAATTTTATACTTGAAAGGGACTTCAGAGATCATCTGAGCCAACACCCTCATTTTCCCGATTAGAAAAGTAGGGAGGTAAAGAGATATAATTAGGAGGTAATGTAGTAGAGTAGAAAGACCATTAGATTTAGTCTCAGCACCTGGACTAAAATTTTGACTCCATCACTCATTACTTGTGTGACCTTGGCCAATCACTTTTTCCCCCCTCTGGGCTTCAGTTTCTTCATCTGTGTGTAATTATTTCAAAAAGGCTTTCTAAGAGACTTTGAGGATTATTACTGTCTCTTTAAGAGAACAAGAACCAAATGGAATATTGAGAAAGGCAGTTTGTGTTAGCAGTTTGGAAGTGACAGTTGAGAAATGTCTGACTTTGAAGTGCTTCTCCCTATGGAGTCAGAGAGAAGGTGTGTGTTTTATCTGTGATCTATGAGGCTAGGGAGAATACAGAGAGGAAGAAGGCGTTGTGAAACTTCTTCCTAGTCAGAACCATCGTGATATATTAGATACAAACAAAAAAACAAACAGAACAACAACAACATTGTAACGAGAATTCTATGAAGAGTTTGTGAGGAGCTGGGAAGCACAACGTATTTTTCTAAGATTATTTCCTGCAATTATTGAAGAGAGGACAAAGAAAAAGAACTAATCTAGTTTATTTCTAAGAGACTGAATAAAACTCTTATCTTGAGGAGAAATGTGAAGATTTTTTTTAGAGGCTTTAATCAGTATCTGCAATGGACGGAATGATAGGAGACTGAATTTGCATACAAGAAGAGATGAATCATCCACTGATTGAGGGTTTGAGGTGGCTGTCAACTCTTGCATAGCCAGAATATTGTAAATAGTTTTATATATATGTCTTTGCTGAATTATTGCTGTCCTTTATTCGGTAAGTTTTAATATTTATTTAATTATAGAAAAGAATAATTGGTAATGGGAAAGAAGGCTTCTTCAACTTTTTAATTAATATTTAATGAATGGGGTGGGGTTCAAGCTAATCAATGAGAAAGAGGTTTATTAAAATGAAATAAATTATCACAACTTCCCCTGTTTCACTCTAGAACTTAACTAGACAGAAGTAAATAAGAGAATGAGTCAAGTGGCAGACTGAGGGGTGACTTGCTATGCGTAGGGACATTCTCTTCAAACTTTATATGTGTGAAACGATAAGGTTGAACTAGATGATCTCTGAAATATCTTACAACTCTGAAATCTAGGATATTATGATTAGTTAAGGGCATAAAAATGGTTAATATCTTTATTAGCTATGTTATGCTGTGAACCTAACACAAGATGGGGTGGAAGGGGCAATGTGCAGGAAGGGGGAGGAAGGGAGGGTAAGAAAAGAGGTAGCTTGGGAATAGGCTTAGAGTGCTAAAAGACTGTATTATCCAGACACCAACGGATTCCTGGGAGATGGATACTTCAGTTGATTGGTATCTCCATCAAACAGAGAAGATTTTAGGTGAGTCCCAGAAGTGGAGTTTGTAGCCTTGCTACAATACAAATCAGCAGAAATATATTAAGCGTCTACTATGTGCTGTGTACTATGCAAGATGTATGTGTACATGGCGGGGGTGTTTAAGGTTGGAGGGAGATTCACAATTTAGATAAGACATTTTCTCTGTCTTCATAAAGATTCTAGTCCCTCTCCAATCCATTGTCTTTACCGATGCCAAAGTGCCACCACCTAAGTCTGATCATGCTACTTCCCTACTCCATAATCTCCAGTGGCTTCCCTTTGCCTCCAGAATCTATCACCAGTACTTCTATTTGGCATTTCAAGTCTGACTTCAACTTGCTTTTCCAGGCTCATTGCTTGTTATCCCCCCCACCTTTTATTTTTTTTTTTAGGTGAGGCAATTGGAGTTAAGTGATTTGCCCGGAGTCACGCAGCTAGTGAGTGTTAAGTGTCTGAGGTTGGATTTGAACTCAGGTTCTCCTGACTCCAGGGCCGGTCCTCTATCCACTGTGCCACTTAGCTGCCCTTACTATTTCCTTTCACACACACTACAGTTTAGCTAAACAGATATTCATACCATTCCCATGCACACAACAGGTGAATCTCCCACCTCTTTGCTTTTTAGAGCTGGAAGGGATTTTATCTGCAGTAGTCTAACCATTTCATTTTACAGATGAAGAAAATGAGGCCCAAAGCAGGGAAATAACTTTGCCAAGATCACACAGTCAGTAAGTTGCAGAGCTGGGATGCGAACCAAGTCCTTTGACCCCTAAGTCAGTTTTCTTTCCTCTAGACAGCACTGTCCAGGAATCCTTGTAGCATTTAGAGTCCCCATCACAGTTTAGCATGTGATTATACATTCACCCTCTTGTATTGTTGGAGGGGGTGTATTGTGTGTTTCATTCCCACAACTGGATTATAAGCACCTCGAGGGGAAGCATTCCATCTGGTTGGATCTTCTCCAAAGCCTTGCCTAGAAAAGGAGGTACTCAGTGAATTCTTGATTGATTGATTGATAGATTCATAGATTGATGAGAGGGAAAAAAAAGTAACTTTTTCTAAGAGCTCTTCCAGTCATAGTTGGATCTATTGCCTTATATCCTGGGTTAGGGGGTATGATGAATCCCATAGGATTTCTTTAATGTTGTAAAGGGAAGGTGACCAGGTTCTGCTTCCTCCAATCCCATTTTTCTTTGTTGTTAACAAAAGGAGTTTGTTCCATAATTGTTCCACAGAATCAGTTCCATGATTATAGAGGCTCATCTTTAAAGAGAGCATTCTAGTTTACAATAATGCCTTAGGATGTAGGTAAATGCAGGCATATCATCCCTATTGTACATATGTAGGACTTACCCAAGGTCACATTGCGTTGAGGAAGTGGAAAGGCCTGGACTCCAGCTCTTCAGACTCCTATTCAATTTACTTCTGGGCCAGACTGTGGCCACCTACCCTACCCATCTCTTGGGGGTGGGGGTGGAGGTGTGTGCCACAGTGTTTTGCAGCAGAGGTGACCATCAGCCTCTTTCCACAGGCAGAAAGTCAGGCTGCTCATGTCCAATGACAGGAACACACTCTCCACCCTGTTCATCTCTGTGAGCTGACATTTCTAAAGGTGATGCCAAATGTATTTTTTTCAGATATGTTTCTTGGTTGATTCAAGCCAAAAAGTATTTCTTGGCTTTTCAAATGTCAGCATGCCACTCTGAAGGAAGGAGTATTGTTCCTCTTTAAATATCCTGAGCTGTGCTGGGGGACAGATTTGCATATTGTCTGTTGTCCCTTGACTGCCAATGGTGTTAAGAACCCAGCAGCACCTAAATAGCTACAAACCCATACTATGGATAGACTTAGTGAGGTCAGTAGCTAAGACCTCTGCTGAGACTCTATTCTGTGGTATTGTAGTGGTATGCAGTGATCTTGGATTCTTAAAGTCTGTACCAATGGAATTCAAGTTCAGGTAGGTCCTACCTAGCTGAAAAGTGCTGGCTTTGAGCACCAATTGTGGTGTACTGGAAAGAGCTCTAGATAGGTTCTGGATTCAAATCCTGACTCTGCCATTTATTATCTGTATGACCTTGGGCAAGTCACTCACTTCTCTGGGTCTCAGTTTCCTCATCTGCAGGTTAAATGGAGGTACACTAGATGACCTCTGAAATCCCTTCTCTGGTAGGTGGAGTAGTGCACAGAGCACTGACCCTAGAGTCAGGAAGATGAGTTCAAATTTGATCTCAGACACTTCCTGTTGTGTGACCCTGGACCACTTACCCTCAGTTTCCTCATCTGTAAAATGGGAATAATAATAGCACCTTCATTGTATGGTTATTGTGAGGATAAAATGAGATATTATTTGTAAAACTCTCTGCAAACCTTAAAATGCTTTATAAATGCTAACTATTGTTGTTATTGTTATTATTCTGACTGTCAGATCTGAGGATCAGGCTAATTAAGTCTGAGAAACTTATTCCCAGAAGGCTATATTTTTTTCAGCTGTATATTTTCATTCAGGAAGCCCATTAAGGCATAGAGGGGGAGCAGTAATATATTTAGGGAGAGGCAGGACCCACAGGATAAGATCATGAAGCCTCAAAGGTAGGAAGCATAGTAGGTAGAGGCAATGATCAGATCCTCCTGTTCAATGAGAAGGTGCCAGGCACGCTGTTACAGGAACCTTGCAGAGACACAGCTCATTGGCTGCAGATAAGGAAACTGGAAGCAACCAGACTTATTGAAGGGAACAAGTCCTATTGCTGCTGCCCTTCTCTTTGCCCATCTCGAGAATGGAAGGATGAGAGATTGTGTGGAGGAATTGGAAGTCTCCATCAGCACCAGCAGACTCAGAGGAAAGAATACTGGCTTCAGAGTCAGGACACCTGAGCTTCAATCCCAGGCCCAACACTTATTGGCTGGGTACATCTAGGCAAGTCATTGTGGGGTAAGTGCTTTACATACTCTACAGTGAGACAGGCCGGTGAGATGTTCTTATGGAAGATACCAGGTGTCATTACTACTGGGTCAGTGTCTTCAGTGGATCAGGGCCAGGTTTACAAGCATCACTAGTATAGCACCAATGCCACCCATTCCATACAGTTAAAAAAAATCTTTCATTCAATGTCTACTATTAAATTCTATTCAATAAACATTTATTAAGCAACTATTATGTGCAAGGCACTGTACTAAGTTCTGGGGATACAAAGACAAGACAAAACAAACAAAAACCATTCTTTACTCTTAAGAAGCGCACATTTCTGCTTTGGGATGGCACTCTGCTGAACATAGAAGGCATCGTCATGTATTCCAAAACTTGAGAAGTGTGGACAACTCAGTGACTCATAGAGGAGACTACCTGAAAGGTTAGAAATGAATGCCTTAGGAAAAAAAGGGTGGGGCAGCTAGGTGGCACAGTGGACAGAGTGCCAGGCCTGGAGTCAGGAAAGCTCATCTTCCTGAGTTCAAATCCAGCTTCAGATACTTACTTACCAGCCTCAGGCACTAGACAAGTCATTTAACCCTGATTGCTTCAGTTTCCTCATCTGTAAAATGAGCTAGAGAAGGAAATAGCAAACTACTCTAATATCTTTGCCAAGAAACCCCAGATGGGCTCATGAAGAGTTGGACATGACTGAAAAACAACTCTTAACAGGAAAAGAGGGCAGGCTAAGGGATGAGTAGTTCTTTATGCCAGGAGAAGAGAAGGCTGAGTTTGGAGATGTAGAGGCAGAAAACTCTCAAAAAATGACCTTGAAGCACAGGAAGAGATTTTGTGCAGGGGGATGATGGTTAGTAGTTCTGTTTCCCCTAAGGTTAAGGTCAGAGAGAATCATTATAAATCACAGAAGAGATTTAGGCAAGATATAAGAAGAAATTGATGGCTAGTGTTCTGAAACGTTGGCACTCATTCATTACCAAGGGAGGTGGCAGAAACTCTTTTCTTCCCCCTGGGATTCGGTCTCTTGGTAGTGGCAGAGGTGCTCAACCCTTATCTTACTAGAATGGCTTTCATACATTTTTGTCTGGAGTCCAGGACTTGTACTGTAAAATGAAGGTGTTGAGAGAAGAGATGAGGAAGCACCTTTTGGTAGAAAGGTGGGGGAGCTACGAGTGTGAAATATTACATGCACTACTAGACTGTACTTTTCTTCATCCTCCCTCCCACCTCACCATGAGGATACAGATTTTCTTGCTGGCAAAGCATCCAGTGTGAATTCAAACTCTTGACACCCTGCCTTAAGGCTCCATTCTTGGGGCCTATGACCTCACTGTCTTGAGACATATGCTTGTGGCAATCACATTGCTGAATATAGGCTTTCCATCACCTCTCCCTCAGTAAATATACTAAATGCCAAACGAGTGGTACACCCAAAAAGTACATAGAAGTAGGACAGAGCTTGTTGGCCTAGACTCTTTCTGGGTTCTCTTTTCTGTCTGTCTCTCTCTTCCTCTTTATCCCTCTCTCTCTTCCTCTTCCCCACCCCTTATTTAAATCATAAGGATAAGAATTCCACATCATTCAGGTTTTCTCCTCTACATAGCCAGACAAATTCTGCCCTTGAAAATTCAGAGAGACTTCCACTCCTGTATGAAGTCACTGTGTATTAAGTATGCAGAACTGAGATCAGAATCTGTCCTGAAGCCAGCCTGCAGAGATGGAGGCAGGGTCCAGTAAACAGAGTACAGGAATGGTAATCAGGTCATCTTGCTCCTAAACTTGACTCCAGCATGGTAGCAGAAGGCCAGCCAGCAGACACTTTGTGTCACTTCACTGCCTCACTTTCCCATTTCCATAAAACAGGTGTCTTCTGAGTTGCTTTTGCTGGGGGTGATGGGATAAGCCCATTTGTCAGTTGTTTTGGAAGGACTGAAGTCAGGCCCATGGAAAACAGGGCCCCATCATCAGATCAGAATCTAATTAATGGGAGATGTCAAAATTCTAATGTCTATAGCTTGAAGCTACCCTCTATCCCCTGCCAATTTCGCATTTAGCCAGAGTTCTTGGGGAAGAGAGCATGGAGCAGAAAGAGAGAGATACCTCTTGAAAAAGGACAACACATTTGAATAACTTCTGGTAGGTCTTAAAAAAAATAACAATATTGATTCTTCTCTCTTGATATTCATCCCTCCTGTACTAGTCAGTCAGTCAGCTAGTCAGTAAACATTTATTAAGCACTTACTACGTACCAAGCCCTAGGGATTTAAAAAAGGTAAAAGATAGTCTCTGTTCTCAAGGAGCTCACAGGCTAATGAGGGAGGCAACCATCAGACACAACTATGTACAATCAAGCTATAGATGTGAAAAATGGGAAATAATCAAGACAGAGAGGGCACTGTCAACTACATAACTGATAACTTGTTCAGTTTTAGTTGTATTGACTCTTCATGACCCCATTTGGGGTTTTCTTGGCAAAGATACGGAAGTGGTTTGCTATTTCCTTCTCCAGCTCATTTTACAGATGAGGAAACTGAGGCAAACAGGGTGAAGCAACTCGCCCAGGGTCACACAGCAAGTAGCATCTGAGGCCAGATTTGAACTCAGGAAGATGAGTCTTCCTAACTCCAGGCCCAGGGCTCTGTGCACTATGGTGAGAGAGAGAGAGAGAGAGAGAGAGAGAGAGAGAGAGAGAGAGAGAGAGAGAGAGAGAGAGAGAGAGAGAGAGAAGGTGAGGGTGGGGGGCACTAGGATTAAGGGGGATAGGGAAAGGTTTCCTGTACAAGGTGGGATTTTAGCTGGGACTTGAAGGAAGTCTGGGAAACCAGGAGCTGGAGATGAGGAGGAAGAGCATTCCAGGCCAGTGAAAATACCTGGAGCTAGGAAACAGAGTGTCATATGTGAGGAGCAGCAAGGAGACCAGAGTGACAGGATCCCAGAATATCTGGTGGAGTCCAAGATGTGTGAAGACTGGAAAGGATTATGAGGGGCTTTGGCTGTCAAACAGAGGATTTTCCTGGTTTTTTTTTTTTTGGTGAGGCAATTGGGATTAAGTGACTTGTCCAGGGTCACACAGCTAGTAAGTGTCAAATGTCTGAGGCTGGATTTGAACTCAGGTCCTCCTGACTCCAAGATCAGAGCTCTATCCACTGCGCCACTTAGCTGCCCCAAAACAGGATTTTCTATTTGATCCTAGAGGTGTTAGGGAGCCATGGGACTTTACTGAATAGCAGGGTGACATGGTTAGTCTTGCTCCTTGGGACGATCACTTTGGTCAGCTGAGTGGAGGATGGATTGCAGTGCAGGGAGACTTGTGTCACGGAGATCCACCAGGGGGCGATTGCAATAGTCCAGTTGTGAGGTGTTGAGGGTCTGCACTAGGGTAGTGGCAGTTGGACAGGAAACTGAAGACCAGAGAGATTAGGGACTTGTCCAAGATTATATAGTCAGTCACTTAATGGGTCAGTCGATAAGCATTTATTAAATGTTTACTATGTGCCAGGCACTGCGCAGTACAGTAGTCAAGGGTGTCAGAAGAAGAGCTGAGTTTTGAATCCAAACGCCAATGCTCTTTCACTTTGTTTTTCTCCCACCAGATTGTAAGCTCCCTGAGGACAGCCAATAAGGTCTACTTTCTTTGTATCTTCTTTAGTGCCTACCACAATTCTGGGCATGATGCTCATTAAATACTGATTGGTCTCTCTTGGTCCGGGGTGGGGGGGGGAAAGGGAAGCTCGCTGAGGGTAACAATTGTTACCATCACTTTGTAAATAGTGAAACATGCCCGTGTGAGTTAGCAATGACTGAGGACAGACATTTTGCAGCTGTGACAGGGAGAAATTACCCACAGCCACTTATATTTCTAAACCTCCTTGCAGCTACAAAACACTTTACGTGTATGATTTTATTTTAGTCTTATAACAGTCCTGTCAGGTGGGTGGCACGAGTATTGTCGGCTTCCCAGCTAGACCTTCTGGCCCTCCCACCTCTATTCTCTCTGCCCTCCCATCTACACTTCCTCCCATTGCCAAATTAATCTACCTTCTGCCTAGATCTGATTACAACCCTCTGCTTCAATAATCCTCAATGGCTCCATATGGCTTAAATGGGAAAGTTCAAACTTGAGCGGCTCCTTTAGGGCCCTTTCCAGTCTGGCATCACTCTAGCCTTCCAGCTTTATCTTCATATTACTTCCTGACACATTCTACACTCTAACCCAATTAGATTACTCTTCGTCCTCGGAATATTCCCTGCAGTCTTCTGTCTCCATACCTTTGCTCATCCAGTTTTCTGTGCCTGAAATTTTCTCCTTTCCACCATTTGCCTTGCTGTTATTCAGTCATTTTCATGACCCCATTTGGGCTTTTCTTGTGCAAAGATGTGGGAGTGGTTTGCCATTTCCTTTTCTAGATAATTTTACAGATGAGGATACTGAGGCAAACAAGGTGAAGTGACTTGCTCAGGGTCACACAGCTAGTAAATCTCTGAGACTGGATTTGAACTCAGGTCTTCCTGACTCCAGACCCGGTGTGTTGTCCACTGTACTGCCTAGCTGCTTACTCTTTGCCTACCCATTCTTTTAAAGCCCAGCTCAGATGCCAGGTCATTGTTGACACCTTCTCTAATGCCTCCTACCAGTAATAAGTTTCCTTCTCAGACCTCAGCTAGCCATGGTACCTTTTTTCCTTTAAATTAGTATTTTATTTTTTCCAATTATATGTAAAGACAAATTTTTAGCATTCATTTTTTATAAAATGTTGAGTTCCAAATTTTCTCCCTCCCTCTCTCCCTCCCTCCCTAATACAGGAAGTACTTTGTTATAGTTGTATATGTACAATCATGTAAAACACATTTCCATATTATTCATGTTGTGAAAGAAACAGAAAAAAAGGGAAAAAAACATGAAAAAAAATGAAGAAAGTGAAAATAGTGTGCTTTTATCTGCATTAGAACTCTATCAATTCTTTCTCTGGATCTGGATAGCATATTCCATCATGTGTCTTTTAGAATTGTCTTGGTCATTATATTGCTGAGAAGAGCTAAATCATAGTTGATCGTTGAACAATGTTGCTATTACTGTGTACAACGTTCTCCTGGTTCTGCTCACTTTGCTTCGTATCTGCTTATGTAAGTTTTTCTGAAATCATTGTGCTTGTCATTTCTTATAGCATAATATTTGCATTATATATCACATTGCATGCATGTATCACAACTTGCTCAGCCATTCCCCAATTGATGGGCATCCCTTCAATTTCCAATTCTTTGCCACCACAAAAACAGCTGCTATAAACATTTTTGCACATGTAGTTCTTTTTCCTTTTTTTTTTTTAAATGATCTCTTTGGGATCAACGGTACTTTGCTAATACATTTATTATGTACTATTGTATTATGGTTTTCCATCTTTGTGTCTCATTTCCTTACTAACTACCCCCTACTAAGCTCTATGAAGGCAGAGATCCCATGCTATCGAAACTCTGTATTTCCTTTAGCACCTGGCAGATTCTTAGTAAATGTTTGTCGAATTTGTTGAATCCCCATTTTCTAGATGAGAGAGTTGAAGTCAAAGAGATTGAGTGACCTGGGCAAGGTCATACACTGCTTAAGGGACAAAACTAGGCCTTGCGCTGAAGTCTTCCCGATTCTCAAGGTAAATGTGACATCCACTGCACTGTGTGCCCTGTTAAGTGATGTCAAGAGAGAACTTTCTGACCAGTTGTGGTAATAATATCACACCAGTCGGTGAGAGGCAAAAAGGAATGGGATGAGACTGCAGATGAACACATCTGGTGCCTTTTGAGCTCTGCCATCAATCCACAGACCCTGCCTGGAATCCTTAGATCATATTTGTTCTTTATCCGTATGAACCAGGATATCTAGAAAGATTGAATTATTCCTATATTAAAAAAAATACATTTTTTTCCAGGTCCTCACGGTGAGGATCTGTGATGGTATCTAGTGAAGAGAGCATTGGATCTGGAGTTAGGAAGCCCTGAGTCCAAATCTTTCAGACACTAGCTGTGGGACCCTGGGCAAGTCACTTGTAAGCCTCAGTTTTCTCATCTGTGACATGGGGGTTAAAAGCATTGAGCTCACAGGGTTGTAGAGGGGAACAAATGAGATAATACTTCTAAAGTGTTTTGCCAGCCTTAAAGAACTATGTGAATGCTTGTTGTTGTTACTGTTATTAATTGTCTTACAGGAATGAGTATTTCTCCATCCACTAAAGATCTAAAGTGGTCTATAACTTAGTAAATAAATCTTGAAGAATTGCCTGAGATGCGTGGAGGGTGATTCATCAGAGGTAAGATTTGAACCCAGGTCTTCCTGCCTCCAACATAAGCACCCTGACAACTATGCCATGCTGCCTCTCTTTTTGATATTTAACCCTTCACACACACTAAAGAAAAAAAACCTCTAAAAATAGGTAAAGAGAGTCTTTAGGGAATACATGGATTTGTAGAAGAAATTAGCTCTTGGGCACATGTAAATTATTTGAAAACCTTGTTTAAATTTTTTTTTAATGTGAGAAGAATTTGATTCTAACGTTAAATCACTTGATAGCATCTTGGAATAGAGCAGGAGTCTTTAAAAAGAGAAGACAATCACCCTCATTCAGATTCTGGGTCAGTGGGTATGGAATAATTCAAATTCAGCACGTTTCTCCTGGCTCGGTGGTACCCAAGGGACAGTATCTTACTCTGCTACTTCCTATCACTCTGTGCTCTTGTAGGGGCTTATGGTATTACCGCAAAACACTCTGGACATGCCCAGCATGAAGAAACATGCTGCAAGGTATTCCTTGATGCACTGGACTCAAAGCAGGCAAACTCCCATGACTCACGAGCTCTCCTAGGCCAGGTGATTGCAAACAGGAATGCACAGAATCCAAAATTAACCAGTGGTTATCATCAAGGAAAACAGCTGAAGAATTTCAATCTAATTGAAAGGGAAAGCTGTTTTGATCCAAACTCTAACTCCTAATATTAAAGACCATCTGAGCTCCAGAAGTCCCCAAGATGGTTACATTTTGGGGGTCTTAACCACTTGAAATGATCTTCCCTGTCCCTTCTTCTCCTCTCTATTTGCCCCCTGCTTTGACCACCCCTTGAACTTTTAGAAGCAGGAACAACACTGCTTCCACAGAAGGCATCTGGAAAGCTGAACTCTCCAGACAGCAAAGACAGCTATCTTGAGCCTAGACTTTATTAGACTGATTGTCATAATCATGGAATGGCTCAAGAATGCAAGCTTAGGAGAAAGAAAGAAAGACTGGTTTTGTTTGCTCTGTAGTGATGTCAGACTTTCTCAGTTGGGGGTAGAATGAGCATGTGGGTAAAATGAGTGTGTTTTCTCTCTCTTCTCTCTCTCTCCTCTCCCTTTTTCTCTTTTCCCCTCCCTACCTCCCCCTCTTTTTTTCTCTTTCCTGTCTTCTCTCTCTCTCTCTCTCTCCTTTCTCTCTTTCTCTTTTTCTCTCTCCCCCTCCCTTCCTCCTTCTCTCTTCTCTTCTCTCTCTTTCTCTGTTTGATTTCATATCAATTTGGCAAGAAGGGCCTTTGCGTTTCTCAGATACTGCAGTCACTCGGCTCTTCGGCAGCGTGACTCACAAACAACAAACAGGCTGAGAGCTGCGTGACGAACCCCCAAGAAGTCCGCTGGCGGTTCGTGCCTTTATTGTTCAGCTATGACATGTAGGCAGAGCTGCTTTGCCTACTGGACCTGTTTTCTCTGTCCCTCCCTCTTATGCAGGTTGTTATCAAGCAGAGGAAAGAGAGACCCACCAGCCCTTGAAATATGACCTCACAAGGCAGAATAAACAGTGCTAAGCTGGGGAAGCAAATGGAGCAGACACTGGCAAAGGACATGAGAAAAATCATTGCAATTTGCCTCAGATGGGATCATGTTAGCCCCGACCATTTGAACAGACGTGTAGAGCAAGGCAGGAGACAGAGATCCGGTGAGGTCAGTGGTGGTCAAAGAAAGGGCAGAGGGCAGGGAGCAGGCCCTAAAGAAGCAGCATCTATCCCAAGCAGGCTAAGCCAGCTTTTCCTATGGAATTGAAGATTTGATTGACTTAGGGGATTAAATCTTGGGGCCATTGATGTAGCTTCCTCATAAGTAAAAACATCTAGCCTACATTGAGGCAGAAATGGATCCTGCTCAGGTCAGATTGGTGCAAGAGAGTGGCCAACAAGGAAGATGGGCTGAACTGAAATTGACGAGTAGCTCCACTGTATTCTTACTATCTTTTCCATGATTTGGCCAAGTAAATTTCCATTTGTTAACTATCAGATGGTTCCTAAGTGTCTCATTTCATTCCAACTCTGAACCTAGAGCTCTGTCAGGGCTGGCCTCATACTGTGAGGTCTCCCCCCCTCCCCATTACCCCAAGGATTAGAGAGTAAAGTATCTGTAGGCCCTCCAGGACTAGAGACAGATGCAAATGTGTTCTGTAGTTTGTGTTCTGTGTTTTAAGTACTGTGTTCTGAGGAGGAAAAATGCTGTAAAATGTCCATTGTTGAATTCGCATAATTTTTCTATTTGGGCTTGATAGAGATCTCCAGGTCTTTCAGCTGTAGTAATAATAATAGCTTACATTTATATAGCACCTACTATGTGTCAGGCACTGTGCTAAGCACTTTACAAACATTATGTCATTTGAACCTCACAATTACCCTGTGAGGTAGATGTTATTATCTCTATTTTACAGTTGAGAAACCTGAGGCAAACAGAGATTGCCCAGTGACTTGCCCAGGGTCATACAGCTAGTAAGAACCTAAGGCTGCATTTGAACTCTGGTTTTCCTGACTCTAGGCCCAGCACTCTATCTGCGGTGCCATCTAGAAGTTCCTTAATGGGCTTAGGTACTCCTTAAAGCCTGAATTTTGGAATTTTTCTAATAACTATGTTGAATGAACTTCTTGGGAGCTTTTATATGGCTTTGGGAAATGGACCATATAGACTTTATTGGGAGCCCCTGGTATGGAAAAGACATTTAAAAGGACAATGCTTGATCCTTCTTGGGACCTTTCTGGAACTGTTGTTAAGGACAAGTGTGCCTAAATGTACCCCAAAGCTCCTGTTCTTATTCCCATGAGCTGTTCAGTGAGGGATGGTTGAAAGGCCTCTGAGGGAGCGGGTCTCTCAGCACAGACCCAAGAATGGACAAGTGGAGTACTTATAACAGTCAGGTCCCAGAAGAAAGGGGCAGTCCCTGGAGCAGCTCTGGCCAAGCAGACACTGACATTTCTGAGGTTCTAGCACAGAGGAATATTGTGCACACACAGCAGCAGCAGGCGGTGATGTAGATGCCAGTGGCAGCAGGCAGTGGTGTAGACCCCAGAGGCAATAGGCAGTGGCACAGCTCTCACCAGAGTAGACTTGGCCTGGGTAGCAGTAAAGAGGACCCTGACCTGTGATAAGGTCGCGAACCTGTGCCTGAAGAGTCTTCAGGTGTCCTATGTGCTGCTGCTCCTTCTCACTGTCACTACTTTACATTGGGAGACCTACTGTGAATTGTAAAGATATGACAACACCCACCACATGGATCAGTTGTTCAAGATCCAAGCCTCAGTTCTTCTGAAGATGGGGAGGGAAGCCTGGGACTTCTGGTCTTTCTTTCTCTTTCTTTCCCTTCTTTTCCCTTCTCCCTCCCTCCCTTCCTGTTTATTTCTCTGTCTTTCTATTTTTACAATTTTGAGTTTTAAATTCTTTCCTCCCCTCCACCCATTTCCCAACCATTGAGAAGGCAAGTAATATACTACCCATTATACAGTTGAGGACTTATGGTCTTTATTCTCCTCCATATTCTGTCACTCCTTAATTGGGCCATTCCATTGCTCATTATTATTATTATACCATTTCCCTATTCTTTTACTCCTTCACTGCTGCCAATGCCAGGTTTCTTATATCCATGAGGTCAGGGTTGTCAAACAGCAGTGCTAAGATCAATGAAAAGGCAGAAAGTCCTGTAGGAGAACTTTAGGATCTGGCCACCAAGGGGTGGTATGTTGTAGGTATAACATCAGCCCCATGCAGGCTAGGCTAATTTTTCCTTAAAAGGTATTGAAACCATCTTGGAGACTTAATTGTCTCAGGAGACCAAAGCTTGAGCTATGGGTATAGCTTCCTAGTAGTCTAAGACACCAGAAAGTCTAAGTAATAAGTACTTTTTCTAATTACTAAGACACAAGTGACTCTTCCTCAGGTTAGACTGGCATTCCAACATGGCCATCCCAGAATCAGAGAAGCAAAACTCATCTGAATTAGGTTGTATACTTGTTGAATGGTTTTTTCCTGCTATGGCTAAGTAAATTTGTTTTTGCCAACTGTTAGATGGTCTACAGATGTCTTGGTTTATTCTAATTCCAAATCTGACAACAGACTAGCCCGGGGGTGGGGAACCTGAGGCCTCCAGGACACATGTGGCCCTCTAGGTCCTCAAGAGCGGCCCTTTGACTGAATCTGATTCACTTGAGGACCTAGAAGGCCACATGTGGCTTGAGGCTGCAGTCTCCCACCCCTGGATTAGCCTGCGTCAGGCCAACAGCAGACAAGATGAGGAAGACAAACGGGGGACACTGCCGCCTGAAGAAATAAAGAAATGAGGCCCCCCATGTGAAGTTCGTATTTGTGCTTTTTCACCAACACATTCCTTCATCGTTACCAGGAGCTAAATCATTTCCATTCTCCCAGCTGCCCTTGATTTGTAAGAGTTTCGGTGGGTACATGGGCCAGCCAGTGATTGCCATTATTTTTTATGTTGTCTGTTGATTAGGTTATTTCTTCGTTGAGGGGTGGGAGCTGGAAGGCCTGAACTCTAGCCCTTACCCCCCTTTTCCATCCTTTCAACACAGACATACATGCGTGCACATGCCCATGCATGTATACTCACATGTACACACACATGCGTGTGTACACATGCACGCAGCTCCATTGTGATTTGGCATGAAGGTGATGCCGTGATTGCCAGGGTGGTCCTGGGGAGTGTCTGCTCCACAGGAAGGCACCATCCTGGAAGGTTTCAGCTGCACATTAGCAGCATATACCTGGGAAGGCTGCATGAGGGGGCTGAGAGGAGGAGGTCTTTTCTATTTGGCATTTGCACGTTTGTGGGAAACGTGCTGCTTCCAAGCTCTCAGCAATAACAAGACACATTCGCTGCTGCAGGTTCATTAATGAGGCCTACGGGAAGAGGATTGGCTTGTCCACTGTGTTAACTGGACTGTGGGAAAAAAATGCACAAAAGGGAGAAGCAATTTTCAGGTTAGTGCTTGACTTTCAACTATTACTCTAAACTCAGATGATTACCAGATGACTGCTGCCTTGGAGATCTCAAACGTGTGTGTTGTTTATCACAAGGGTCTCCTTCCCCCTTCTGTTTTTGAATCAGCACTGGGCCTCAGCTGGATGGCCTGGCTTTTCAGGCCGCATCGGCTATTTTTTTTTTCTGAAAGGACAACCACTAACTGCCCTTTCTGGGCATGGCACGGCAGCTTGCCAAAGGGGAACAGTGCACACTGGGGGTTGTTTGCCCTAATTGCCAATCTGAGAGGATTCTTAACTCTGGCTTCTCTGACTCCAAGGCTAGGGATTAGAGAAAAGAGAGACCCCTCTGCATGTTCCAGCTTCTCTTCATTCTTGCTCCAGCAGGAGAGCTTTGACTGTGGGTCAGTCCAGTTCATCCTGGGTTGGGCCACTATCCTGCCATTGGTAGAGACAAAGAGGCCTCTGTGTAGGAAGAACAAGGGGTTGTACACAGAAACCATGGCACATGCAAATTCCACTCATGGCATTCTCTTTCTCTCCCCATTCCTTCATCCTCCCTCCCCCCAATACACACACAAGGGAAGGATATCATTATGCTGGGTGGTAGAATGGCTAGTGTGTTCGCATGAAAGACTTGAGTTAAAATCCTGCCCCAGACACTTTGCTAGCCATGCGACTCTGGAACAAGTCAGTTACTCTATCAGCTTCATTTTTCTTATTTATTGTGAGTATCAAATGAGATCGTATATACATACATATACATGTATATACACACGTACATCCTCTCCCTATAGATAGATAGATATAGATAGATACGTAAAGCACTTTGCATTTTGCTTGTTGTTTGGACATTTCAGTCATGTCCAACTCTTTGTGACCCCTTTTGGGGTTTTCTTGGCAAAGATAATGGAGTAGTTTGCCATTTCCTTCTCCAGCTCATTTTACAGATCAGGAAACTGAGGCTAACAGGGTTAAGTGACTTGCTCAGAGTCACACAGATAATAAGTGCCTGAAGCCGATTTTGAACTCAGAAAGATGAGTCTTCCTGACTCCAGGCCCAGAAGCGTTCTATTCATGGCACCACCTAGCTGTCATTGCAAACCTTAAAGCCCTCTATAAATAGGAGCTGTTGTTACAGCCAGGTGCTCAGGCCCTGGCACATGGGCTCATGGGAGCTCATGATACTACTACTTAGTAGGAACAAATATAACCAAGACAACACAAGGTATGAAGGTTTTACCACGTGATATACTTGTATCATGGAATCTGACTTTCAGCAGGGGATTCGTGAATGCAATCAATTCTCAGTGACTGTGGGATTGTTTATTTAGCTTATGGGTTAACAGATGATTAAGCTGAGGTGCAGCAGGTCAAGTGACTTGCCCCGGTCACAAAGAGAGTACAATGGCCTCTCCAATTTGGCTTTCCCCTGCTGCTGCCTGACCATTACCAATAGAAGAGAAAGGGAAAAGAAGGAATATGTCAAGCAGTCATTTTTGGAATAGATTGTTAGGGGCTCTGTCAAAAGGTCGTTAGGGAAGGAGGATGGAATCGTGGACCAAAATGAGGTTTGAGAATGTTCTTGTATTTCTCAAGTTGGCGTGAATGGCTTCTGATCTGGCTCATTCAAGAAAGTACCTACATTGATAAAATCAGGAATTCATTGGAATATTAGAGTACCCATTGTCCATTTTTGCAGATAATTAGGAATTGACAATACAGTACCATAGATTCATGGGACTGTTAAGAGAGGCAGCTGTAGTGTTGTAAGGAACCATGGAAATGGGGTAAATAAGATCTGACTCTCTGCACTTTACTGTTTTGTGACCTTGGGCAAGTCAGCTGACCCACTATACCTCAGTTTAATCATCTGGAAAATGGGTACTACCTCCCTAATGGTTTTGTGGTGAGGAAAGTGGTTTGTAAACTTTAAAGTCCCATATACATGTGAGTGATTGTCTTAGAATTATAGCTATGGAGTTGAAATGGTTCTTAGAAGTCCTCTAATAAAATCTCATTT